TAGTGCTGTACTTAGTAAGCCAAATAGTGTTGTATATAAGTAGAGTTAGATTGGAGTTTGCTACATCATTTGGTAATATTTTTATTAATTTGTTGTTTGATTTCTTTAATATTTTCAATGTTATGAGCATGATATCTATAGTTTGCTATATTTATCTATTCTGTAGTATTATATAATCAAACAGCATATTAGAAATATAGAGATGGTGTTGTGAATTAATATAACTTATTGTAGAATTATGATGAATAGATATAGGAGTTAGGTTTTTTAAAGAATGTTTAATTTGTCTAATAATGTTACTAAGTTTTTTAAGATTATAATGAAGCTTAGATGCTTTAGATAAGAAGACATATTGAAAGTTGCAAATAGCAAACTTTTTATTAAAAATATGTTAGAGTGTTATAATAATAGTACTGGTTTGAATTTTTTGTTATGTAGATTCTAGTGATTTAGTAGTGTTAAGTATATAGGGAATGTTGTTAGTTTTGAGGTTAAATAAAATTGCTCTATATAGTTTAGCTATTGTTCTTTATTCATATTTTTATATTGGAAGATTCTTCTTTTTGTTTTAGTTAAGTAAGCTATTTGCCTATAAATATATATAGAAAGGACTATAATGATATCAAAATTTTGTAATCACTTTTGATACAAGTGTTAGTATTCTCAAGGTAGAATAAAGTTAGATAGCAGAGGATAGGGTGGTAAGCCCAAATATAGTCAATATGACTACTGCTATGTCTGCTATTATGCTATGTAGTATTTGTGAATTGTACGTAAACTGCCAAGTTGTATATATTGTTGTATTAGAAGAAGTGATGAACTTGTATTTAATAGATAAAGATTGCATGTTATCACTAGAAGTATTAAAGTCTTCTATAATTATAGGTTGAATGTTCAAAGAAATAGCTTGTTGAATCTATTAGATGATCATGTTTTAGGTTTGTAAGTGAAGTTAGAAACTATTACAGAGTAGATAGATATTAATAATTCTAAATATAAATCAATAACAATAGCATATCTTGGTTCAGTAAGAATATTGTGAATATATAGTTTAAGTTAATTTTTGATTATAATTGCAACACTTGCTTTAACACTATCTGCACAAGAACAAAAGTAGGTGAAAATGTAAACTTTTGAAGTTGAGTGATTATATTTTTTTTAGAAATCTTAGTTTCTGTAATACTGATAATGTTAAAATTATTAAAAAGGCAAAAGTCTTTCCAAACTTGTTTTTTGAGATCTTTATTATATCCTTGTATATTTTAAGTGCAAATTAATAAATTAAGACTTTGGTTTTGTGAAGTAATAGGTTGGTTATTATTTTGTAATTTTGTTGAGGTGTTAGAGCCTGGATCTGGTAAGATATTTTGAATTCAGTATCAAGGTAGAGTGTTGGTGATAGTGTTTGTAACAACAAGTTGTCAATATTAGTTAGTATAGTTAATTTTGTATTTATAATGACATTTTATACTAATGATTTAATTAATATGTAAGATTATTTTTGCCAATTACAATATAATACTACAAGTTTTTTTTAATATATTAACAACATCTGCACAACAAGAAAGAAATAGAATATTAGATCCATTATCAACAAATCACATACAGGATGAATTAAAAAAATATTTAGCATTACTTTTAGAAGACCATGTCGATTCTTTGTTGTGACAGCAGGCACAACAAAAAGAATATCTATGATTGTGCCTCATTACCTAGAATTATCTGTTAATTCAAGCAACTAGTGTTGCTTCAGAATAGGCTTTCTCTGCAGCTAAGCAAATGATTTCACCAATGCGAGGTAGATTGGAGGAGGACATCACACATACAATCTTATGTTTACAAAGTTGGATCAATGAAGAAATTCATTAGTATAAATTTGTTAGTACAATATATTAAATATGTATAATTTGCTAATTTTTAATATATAAATCAATTTGCTTATTTTGCTAATGCTATAATGTACAAAACCAAATCTGTGAAGAAACTAAAATTGCTTTAAAATTTAGAATTTTTATCGCTCAGCTTTTTTTGTTAAACACGAAAATATTGATATCTACTAATTTACTTATGTGAAAATAGGTTATTTTAGAGACCGGAGACCAGACTGAACTGGGACTATAGATACTATTAGACTGGTCTTATTAGAGACCGGGACGGCCCGATCCAATCCTAACCACGAATATAATTCTTAGGGTGTAAGACAAAAAAAATAGAGTTCACGTCTTATTTTATAAACTATCAAAATAATTCAGTAATTCATGAAGTAATTCGGAAGATGCAGTTTTTGGAATTTTTACTGTTATTTCTATTTCATTATGTATATTTTTAATTTTTTTTACAAGCTCGAAACTGAGTTGTTGTAGATCCATTTTGTACAAATTAGATTTCAGAATTAACTTGTCATCTAAAATATATTTAAAGTTCAACGCATAGTTTAAAAGTTCAGGAAACTATGTATTGGTTGGTAAATAGTTGACACGATGAAATTTTATTCGCAGGTATTTAAGTTAGTTTGTATATAATTATTAATGAGTTTGGGTCAAAATCCCGCAAGTGAAATCCTGACAGGTCATAATCCCGACAAAAAAATCCTGACAGCAAAAATCCTGAAAGCCAACAATCCGACAGTTAAAAATCCCGAAAATTAAAAATTCTAATAAAATTCTGTCTTAGTGAAAAGAGTTTACTGAGTCGAATTATGAGCATAGTTACAGTACAAATACCAAAATTATAATAAAACGGGTTGTTAACGTGGTAAGTCCCAGATACTGAACTTCTATGATTTTAATTTCTTCAAAGCAAAAATTTTCTGAGGATAACAATTATAATTATGAAAAATGACTTTCTCTTTGATCTAGTTTATCTTTTATGTCTTTAATTTATTCGTCCCAGTTGTTCTAGTAAAAGTCTAAATCTAGGCAAAATTAAAACTCTTCCCAATGGCATTATTTCTTTCTAATTATTAACTAGGTACTTGTTTTTTAAAGAAACTTAGAAATGAGTGTACTGTATTGTATTGTACAGTATGTTACATATTGGTTCTAATGTAGATTCTAGTGCGATTCTCTCAATTTTTGTCGATTTCAGATTATAATTTACAGAAAAAAGATAGAGCTTTGCATTAATACTTGTGAGAATTGTTTGGTGTTTCATAGTCCCTACACATTTATTTATGCTGTTATGCTTTTATTTATTATTTTGTGGTGTTGTATATATACATGCGAGTTATATTACTTATTTTAACCAAAGAACGTTGCAGACTGAACCATTTTTATTACGCATTCGTGTTCTTAAGCTCCTCTTTCTATTGCTAATAAAATAATATAATTGGCTAAAAAAAATATATCGTGCTTAATTTTTTCAGTAAAAAAGACTAAACCTAATAATTTTTTTTAATATAGAATTATCCTGTTTGTAGGGATGGGATGGTTGAGCTTGGCTTAAAAGCCGTAGCTCAAGGTTTAAATCATGGTTTAATCCATGGCAGCTTAAACCATAGCCTAAACTATAGCTTTAAACCACGGTTTAAACTATAACTTTAAACCATTGTAATAAAAATAACTAGTATACAAATATTGATTAAAATTAAACTATCGATATTACGCGTCAAAAAAAAATAATTTAACAATTCTCTATTTATTTTAAATCCAATTTTTATTGGCGCATTGGTAATTGTTTGGTTTTCTTCTTCAATTAATAAAAAAAAAGCTGAAATTAAGTTAGAATTCGGTTGCCAAATTCAAGTATTTTGTCACCAATTTTACAAACCAACCACTTTTGATGCATCTCATTAGATATAGAAATTTATTATGGTGACACACCTAGTACGAAGATAACAGTTATTTCGGTCAAATTTACTTCATAAATCTTCCGCAATTAAGATGGGATACTTATATTGATGGGTTTCAGAATTAACGTGCAGAAATCTAATTTTGACAGAAATAGATAACGTATTTATTTTCAAATGAGCGATGTATCGACTTTATTTCATTTTTGTAATACTGTAATAATTTTTGTCGTTGAAAAAAAGTTTATTTATTTTGTTAAATGGGAGTCTCAAAACATTCCCATTTCATTTTCCGATTTCAAAATTTTGATATACAGATAAGATTTTTAAGCTCCTATTTATTTTCGAAATATGCTATTTTTTTTTAATTCTGAAACCCCTCACTATTTAATTTTCTGATTCGGAATTTTAGACTCCCGCTTATTTTCGAAATAAGTTAATTCTGAAACCCCCTATTATGTGTGATATTAACCCCATGAACACGTTTACTTATTAAACTTCATTCAATTTACTTAATAAGAAAATATTTCTACTGTATATCCCCGGAAATGAGGCAATTGCTTTTTATTTCTTAAAAATGATATTAATTTCAACTTCACTGTTAGAATAAATTTTATATAAATAAAAGGACTTAATTAGGCATCGCACCATGCTGTGTGCTTATACGTCGCATCCTAATGTTTTACCAATTACTGTAGCGTGAAGTTCAGGTGCAACATTAAGTTGTTGATTTGTTTTAAAGAAATTGAAAATTTTGTTTATGAAACCATCTTTAATTCTACAAAAAAATTCCTTGCAAAATTTTACTATCATACCCTAACCTCTATCAACCTTAAACTAATATTAAATTAAATTATAAAAATTGATTTGATTAATGAAGGACAAATATAAATCAAACATAAATAATAAAGTATAAAATCTTATAGAAATTTAGTATCGGGTATACCGATACGTAGCTGCATCTTTTTAAAATTAATTAAATAAGTCTTACTAATTTAATCAAAACAAAAGAAAATCTTTGTGCATTGTTTCACGTGTTAGCGTTAATAGAAATGATTCTTTTGAGAAAGTAATGATCAAAAGGGTAAGTGACCTAAGCTTTATTTGGACTTATCAACATTAAAAATGTATTTTCTCGGAAAAGTCCAATTTTTTGATCACTACGTATTTAATAAACATTTGATCAAAAAACAGTTTACGTTGTTTTTAAACCATGATTCTCTCTAAAAGTTCATTCTTGTGGACTATTTTATGCATACTCTCTTTATTGAATAGATTAGCATTTATATCTGCATCACCTGTCAAAAAGGATTCTTATGTTCCAGAAACGAAAACTTTTTATCTTCATCTTTACAAAGCAAAACTTTCTCCAGATGGATTTGAACGAGTAGTTTGGACTGTAAATGGTTTATATAATTCTTTGAATTGAAATATAAACTCTTCTTTTAACCGATTAAAGTTCATTAACTTTTGGTTTAAATAAATCAATTACCAGGAACATACCCTGGACCGGCGCTTGTTATAACAAAAGGCGATAGAATTGTAGTCCACGTTATCAATAATTTAGGAGAACCAACATCAGTAAATTTTATAACTGATAAGGTGCTAGAAGCCTATACTAGACAATAAAAATAGTATAACTTTAAGATGCATCACTTTAAAATGCATCACCATTTTATAAAAGCAATATTTTTAAAGTAATTACATATAAAATACTTTAAAACCCATCAACTTTTTATACAGTTAATTTGTCAAAAAAATATTTGGCAAATTTATAGGGCTAATATTGCTTTACAAAGTTACGGGTCTGTTTTCTGAAAAACCTCTTGTATAAAAAGTTAAAAAATTGAAACATGTCTAGTATAGATTTCTAGCACATATCTGATCTCATCTTTCTATATGAGAATATTAAAAGAGATTGTTCTTGCATTCAGATCCATTTTCATGGATTTTTTCAAAGGGGAACCAACTGGTATGATGGAGTTCCTGGACAAACGCAATGTCCAATACCTGACAATACAACATTTATCTATAATTTTACAGTTCCGGATCAAAGTGGTACTTTTTGGTAGTAAGTATTCAAAACTCATACTAATTATAATTATGTGAACGTCTTGTTTCTAATTATAACATATTATCGTAAAAAGTCATAGTCACCATATAGCTCAGTATGTTGACGGTGTTCTAGGTGCCATTATTGTCAAAGACCCAGATGATCCATATCAGAATGACTATGATGAAGATGTGGTAGTTCTTCTATCAGATTGGTATCATAACGAAACATCTACTTTATTAAGTTATTATTTGTCTCCAGAAAGTGAGGGAACTGAACCACAGCCCGATAATGGATTAATTAATGGATTGAATAATTATAATTGTACATGGGCACCCGTTTCCTATAAATGCGTTGATAATGCTGACCTTTCAAAGTTTAATTTCGTTCCTGGAAAGAGATATCGTTTGAGAGTTATAAATACTAGGTAATTTTTAAGAGCAAAAAATTTTTCTTAAAATTATAATTTACATACAATTTTTCATATTAAAAGTCAAAATTTTTATTTAGTGCATTTTCAAGTTTTACATTTTCTATTGATAATCATGAAATGGATGTAATCGAAGTGGAAGGAATGATGACAAAAAGACACACGATCCACCGTCTTATCATTAACGTGGCACAACGTTATTCAGTAATCGTAACTGCTGACAAACCAGTTTCGAATTATTGGATGAGAGCAGATTTACAAATTAAATGTTATTATGATTCACCGATTGAAATCGTACATCTTAACCCTTACGTAAACGGCATAGTTCACTACGAGGGTGCTAATCATCTTAATCCCACAACAAAGGGATGGGCAGACAATCTTAATCGTCTCAATAATTGTATCGATTTGAACACTTCAAATCTTAAACCACTTTTCTTGGAAAATGTCCCCCAAAAAGCTGACCAGACCATATATCTTGACGTTACTTTTGAAGAAGATGCCTCTAATATTAACAGAGGAAGATTTAATGGTTCCTCATACGTAATTGATGAAAACAATCCGACTATAAATCAAGTCATGTTTAAAAACCAATCTACATTTAAACCAAATCAAAATGTCTATGGCCAATTTAATGTTTCCGAAGTTATTGATATTGTGGTTTATAGTGAATATCAAAATTTTTCTAATTGACTCACTATATTTAGAATTTTGAAATTATCTTCTTACATTTATATTAAATTTATCATCTTACATTTATTCATCTTTTAGACAACGATGAAGGAGAACATCCATTTCACTTGGTATGTAAAACGTAATCGTATGTAGGGATGGGACACTGCGCAGGCGGAAAAATTCGGAAGCCCGGAAATTTCCGTAATGCGTCAGAATTTAAGAATTTTGGCCCGCATTAGCTTTAATGCAGGCCCGTGCAGGCTGCGCAGCCTGCGCAGCCTGCGCAGTAGTTTCGAAAAATCCTCGATTTTCCCATCCCTAATCGTATGTAATCAGTAATTTGGCCCTACCGCTACTTACGTATATAAAATTTAGCATGGACACGTGTTCTGGGTACTTGGGTCAGGTCCAGTTGGTACTAAGCCTGATTTTTCGAAATTAAATATTTACGATCCAATTAAACGTGATACGGCAACTGTACCTCCTGAAGGGTATAAGATTTTGGGTTTCTTTGTTTTTTCTGATAAAAACTTATTTAACTTGAATTTACAAAATATCCTGATATTATTTTGTGATCAGCTGGATGGTGATTAGATTCGAAGCAAATAATCCTGGAATATGGGCTTTCCATTGTCACATCGAGGTAAAAATAATTTTATTATATTCAATGCATATTTACTATTGAAACTTGCGTAAAAATCACCTTATATCGTTATATAAATAATTTTATTAGTGGCATGTGGAAGTGGGATTGGTCGCTCAATTTATTGAACTACCTCATGAACTCAGGAAATTAAAACCTCCAGCTGATTGGGAACAGTTATGCAGTAAATCGAATAATTCTTACAATGATTTAATACTGCATCCTGAACAAAGAATCTTTATAGACGATATGCGAAATATTGATATTTGGAATTGGAGTGGATTGAAATTTAATTGGAATTGGAGTGGATTGAAATCTAATTGGAATTCTTTATTATTATATGTGTATATTTTAAATATCCTGCAGCTTGAACACCTAATCTCGTGAATGTAAAATTAAAATTATTACTTTCATGACTTATAAGTTCAATAATAGTATACATTGTTAAAGCATGATGAATAATAAATAAAATTTGCATGTAACATTTAAATAAGCCTAGTGCAGATAATGTCTTAAATTCACAATGGACCCGTCATTGGTATTCTTTTTTTGCAATCCCAATCGAATTCGTCGGCATTAAATAATACATCCGGTTATGTCTCTAATAAAATTACTATCAGCTGGACATTCCTACTTAAGCGAACGGATTATAATTTTTACTTAGCGAACGGATTATAATTTTTACTTAGCGAACGGATTATAATTCTTACTTAACGAACGGGTTATAATTATAATTTCATTAGCTTTGAGTCTAGCCGATCACGGATTCAATGAATTCCAACTTGTATAACCTCATAATAGGCATCTATTGTACGAGAATAAAATACTATCATTCGAATTTAAAGAATACAGTGGGTTTTAAACGAGTCTTTTCGATTGAATTTTCGTGTAAATTTTACAATTTTGTTTTACCGTGTCATATTTTGTTATAATATCGTAAAATTGACTCGTATATAAAGTTCTTTTTGGAATTTTCGTCGCTTGAGTTTGACTATGTATTAAGCGAGTTTATTTTGACTTTGAACGATTCGAATATTTAATTGTTACTTTGTGGTAAAGAAGAAAAAAAATATGTCAAGGTTTTAAAAAGAAATTTTCGATGTTATTGGAACCAAAAGATATCAGACAATAATGGAATCGGAAGTGAAAATAAAATCGAAAGTGAATTCTTATATAAAATTTTAATTCGTATCAAATTCAGGGAAAAAAATTTTTTTTTCGACCTGCTTAAAGTTCTAATGTAATCATAATTTTGATTTGTTATTATGTGGAAAATTCAGAAGTTAAGGGGTAAAGTATATATACATGATTTCATGTGTGATATATCAAAAAACTTATACGTCACATGTAGAAATTAAATATATAGCTTTTACGATGAATTAAGTATTTATTTGAAGCGGAAAAAAAAATGTATATAAATGAAAGTTAAGACGTTAAATATCAAGAAAAAAAAAAAATTTTTTTTCCCATTTTTGATATTTTTGCTTTCGTCCATTGCGAATATTTATTAGCCTCTTTAAAGTTACCTTTTTCATCATAAAATTCCAATTTTGTTAATTTCTTATACGTCTTTAAAAGGTAAGTAAAAAAAAAAGTGTTTAAGCACTTTTTGTCACAAATTTAATTCGATCGTATATTTTTTAGCCAGAAAAAGTAATGTCTTCTCGGACACCGTCACCAAACTTGATCGATTTTGGTAACTTAGTTGAAGACAGCATGTCAGAAAAATTTTTTACAAATAGTCAAGATTCTTCGGACGAAGACAGTACGTGTGATCTGGAATCACATTTAGTCGAAGATGATGAATCAAACAAAGAATTAGATTTTGAAAAACCAATTGCTAAAAATGACTTGAATCAATATATGGAAAGAGTTCGTCCACTGCTTAAATACCTCGACGAACTCGCATGTTTGGATCAACATTATTTCTATGAATCAAGTACAACTTCAAATTTTAATTCTATTGAAGAGTCTGATGAACAAAGTGTAGAAAATATCATAGGCGATGATTCATTCGATTTATTTAATATTTTTGATTCGGAACATTTTATGGATGAGGTTGAGAATATTGAAGAAGAAACTTGTCCATCTGCAATTGATTCAGAAGAACCGATCGGAATCGACGCTATTACGATTGATCGTACTTCTGATACTGAAGCTGAAGGTTCTTGTAGTGCTCATTCCATATGCCCTAAATCACGAATGGACTTGGTTTTACATAAATATAAAACAAATATGACAACAATGATTGATACCTCTTATATAGAATTAGATACTCAATTAGAAGAATCTTATAGTAATTTACGTATTGAAATAAAACGATGCGCTCAAAATTTATTCAAAAGAACCATCCAAGAACAATCAAATCAAATTTATACCAAGGTTCTTTCAGAAATTGGTAATTTTATGAATGAATTATCTCAAAATGTTGATACCGTATTATCATTGTCACATTGGGAAAGGTCTGTAAATGAAAGGGTTAGATCAAATGTTAATAGAGCCATTTGCGAAATAGAAAAATCCGAAGAAGTACCTAGTTATGAAGAAAGGCTCAATAAACTTGTCGATGTTTCAATTGGTCTTGAATCAACAACTGAAGAAATAAAAAAAGTTGTAGAGGAAAAGATTCAATTGTTTGAAATTGAAAATCAAAAGTTGAAAGAATTTAAGAATAATCAAAAAGAAAATATATTACTTAAGGAATCGATCATTCACGAATTGAAACTTATGTCCGCTCATCACGAATCTGTGGCCTCGAAACTTCAAGAAAATAAATCAATGTTAGAAGCTAAAATAAATGATTTGAGATCTGAACGAACACTGTTGGAAAACAAAATAAAAGAAATTGAAAATAAATTTAATGAAAACGATAAAAAGCAACAAATCAAGATACTAGCTAATGACGAAGAAATAAAGCGCATCAAAAAAGAATCCGAGCATTTTAAACAGGAAATACAAAAAGTAGAGGCCGATAAAATTTGGTATAAAATAGGATTTAAAGTTTTGGCTTTCATGTTTTTTTTACTTTTGCTTTTGGTCATCTATCTTGTCTAGTGAGTGTTTTATTGTTATATATATTTTTTTTCCTTGATTTAATCGATAGATATTAATTACTTCGTTTAAATCCTTAATAGCGAACCGATGAATTCCGGAGTAGCTTATTATGTTCCCATTGAATTACCAAGGAAAGAAGACTAATTACATAGTTGTAAAAATGCAAAACTTTGACAGAAAAGGCCAGATTATTAGCAGCTTGGATAGCTCAAAAGTCGTGGCTCAAGCTTGAGTCATAGTTATTGGTGCCACTGGTTGGGCCGAGCCGTGACTTGAACCATTGCTCACAATAGCCATGGTTCCAAAGCCCTGGCTGGGAACGTGATAATCTAATAACAGTAAAGACACGAATGCAAATATAACATGATATCACGTTTAAAAAAGTCTTTTAGAAAACGATATTAAATATTATTATTGTAGTTTCTTGAAATTATCATTATTGTTTTTATTATTTGCAGTGAGTTTATATATGAATCGCATCTAAATAAAAAGTTATCTTGTAATTCTACATTTTGTTATTGGGTTAAATTTAAATTGGTTCTCGATTCTCCGAAATCGATAGTAATATATATGTTGTACGTCAGAACGGAATTATTGTAGATTTAGAATCAACTTAGGTTGGAATGGAATTCCAAATGTATCCCAAGTTGATACGAAATTTAAAAGCAATTAAAGTTGATTCTAAATTTGATACTGTAATAACCGATAAATTTAATAGTGGCTTAAGTTGATTTTAAAATTAGGATACTGCAATAAATGCTTAAGCGATCGACGTAACGATATTTAAATAAATTGTCAAGATAAAATATAATTTTTTATACTGTACTTTCTTGTTTTAATTTCACTTTTTCGTCCTTTGCAGAACTCTACCTGATGACCGAATTTCGATTATCCATTTGTGCCTCATAATGCATTCGAAGAATTTCTTTAC